GCGTCAAAAAATCATTTAAGTCATTTTTTATGACAGCCACACTTGATCCTTGCATATCGTGGCTACTTCCTTGACAAAGACACCTAAAAAATAAGTTGCCTCGACTGAGATTTCCACCCCAAACCTCTCACACCATAAACGAACGGGGACGTTAGACGAAGAAAGCCTAAATAAAATCTTATAATTTTAAATTTTGAATTTCCATTTTTATTTAATTTTTGGTGGGATTTTGTTCCGATAAACCTGTTGTTTTTAACCCCTTTTAAAGTAGATTAAATTTTGCAAAAAACTTTTTCGCCAAAAAGTTTTACCTGTATATATTCCACTACTCGACAGTCAGAATTATTTGTGTAATACGCTCCGAGGTTTTGGTAATCGACATCGCTAAAGTAGCATTGTGTATACGCGGATTAAATTATCGGGTGTAGAAATTGATTATCGATCGTCGACTGTCCTAAATTCGTCCCTGTCCTAGAGTCAACATAACATTCTTTCAGAAAGTCTAAATATCAAAATATTTATTTAGGAGGCGTTTTAATTCCAGTCACAATAATCCGAAGATTTACGGAAATATCCGAGCAATTTTCATTGATTAAAATGATATTCATCCGCGTAATTTGTGATTGTGCATTTATTGACAATTCTATATGCCAACGCTACTTTTAAACTTTGAATGCGTTGTAATTTGTTGGATACTTGTAACAAAATAAAAAATATTTCTTTCTTTTACATCGCCAGTTTTAAGCTGTTTTGAGAACTACTTGTTGTTAAGTTTGTCGTGAAGCGCTGTGCAAGAGATTGTATGTCAGCATTGTATCTCTTGATCTGCGATCAGAAAATACTAAAAAAAATGCCATATAATGGAAAACAAAAACAATTTGGGCAAGAAAATGTTCTCTAGTCGATAGATTTTCGAAAATGAATTTTAAAAAAGCGCGACAATCGCCAACCTAGGAATCACTACACAGATGATTATTGCACAGGCGCGGAGCTATTTGTGTTTACTTTTTTGTCCATGGGCCCAGTTTTTTAACAATTAATCCCTTCGATTTACAGCTAAAAATAAATTCGGATTCAAGAACTCCTCCGATTTCTATTATGTAAAGTCATATATTGGTTTCACCTTCGGTGATTCGCAGCATGTCATATTAGTGAATGAGAACCGGAAAGCAGTATTTCTGCACATGAATTCGAAAGCTATAAATAACTAGAAGACCTTAAACATTGTTAATGTCCGAAAATTTATTTATTGTTTTGTGAACAGCGAATTCGAAAAAAAGTGACAGTAAACATTTATAATAGCTACAATACTGTTGAATTTGAAAAGAAGTACTGTTTTTTAGGATGGTATATCTGGCCAACATTTTCTTTACTCATACAGTCCAGGTCGTTGGCACAGCTCAGATATTATTAGATATGATCAGCCAGTGAAGGTCGCGTAGAATCAGCTTTCCGAGTGAACTATTTTTAGCCTTTCATCATCTTCAAAAAATATCAGACTTTATGAATGAATTCATCACTGCTTTGTCTATATAGAGTTGAAATGTTGAGCTATATAGTAATAGAGATTTTCTCAGATTATTTTTTCTGCTGTTAATAAGTTTAAAGAATAGTTAATCAAATGTAAGTGTATCAATATTGTATACCATAAATAGTACAAATATATATTTACTTTTTGCAAGTTTATTCTGCACAAAGCACTGTTTTTTGATTCGAAATTGAAATCTGACCTTCTGACTTTTTTAGCGACGAATGACTACAGAAGAAGTCAATCAAAAGGTCAGATTTCAATTTAAAATAAAAAACAAGTATATCGTTGATTAGGTTTTTTAAGTGGGGCTAGAATAGTTACAAACAAAGCATTTATATGCTTCGGACCCACAGTTTTTTAACAATTCATGTTTGCATTGTGTACATTATTATTATTATCTCTGTATATTTACTGTGAATTTGTAATTTGAACAAATGTACATGTATATTTATGTATTTTTGTACTTATGTTTGTATTGCACAACAGGCTGTATACATGAACCACTTGTGCACCATTTTGAACATTGTTAAGGCGCAGTATTCAGGTCGCAAAAGGAGTCGTTCAGACTGCTTTCCGCAAGTGGTTTCGCGGCCAGTCCCACTTTTGCTCATAACGCAAACTTTTGTTTTATAAGCTGATTTTTTGTTGGAGTTCTTCGAGTTGAGTTGTTATGGTTTAAGTGTTTAATTTGCTTTATGACTCTTGCTAGTATATAATTATGATGCATAATTTTATTTTAATTGATTTAATTATCATGCTTTTTCTTGGACTAAATCAGATGTCTACTACTTCATCGTTATTTGCCCTATCTCTTGCTTGTATGCCCTTTGATGCTTTGCATCGATGCTTTTTTGTTTTTTATCATAAGTATACCATTTTGCCCGAAACATGCAAAGGACATTTGAAGAGCGTTTGTGTTTTGGCTTCTTAACATATGGATTTTTATTATTTCTTACCTTGATTAGTTGTTGACATTTGCAGAAAAGATGGTATGATTATAGGTACAAAGAAAATGTATGTAAATTCTTTGATATTTTTCAATCTTATTGTTACTGACTTAAAAGTAGTGACACAAACAGAACAATGTTGCCAAATACAGTCATGTCACATTACATTTAAAAGTCTTTTCAGTCTTGTTTTGTATTCAATGGAATTATGTACTTTCCCCCTCACCAGGACAGGCATCAGTAAAAGCATTTTTTAAAATTTTTAAATGGCCCCTCTCTTATGGACAAGTAAAAATGTATACGATAAGTATAATGATGCAAAAAATGATTTTCAAAACATTCCGAAAAATGTACAAGAGTACTTAATCTGAATATAACATGACCTGTGCGTAGCGAATGATTTGCTAAGGTATCTGTAATGAGCGCATTTTTTTTGGCGCAGAGCTTCTCAATTGCTGCATTGCAGCAACATTTGTACTTGTTGTTAAGTTTATTTACATTATTACTATACATGTACTATGCTGCTTACTCTAGACTAAATGGACGTTTTATTTCGAAACACATGTAACTGTAATATGTTTACCTGGGATGCGAGAGGTATTATGTCTTCGGCAGGCAGCTTAAGTGTTTCACTAGACAAATATGATATAGACATTGCTGTCATAACAGAACATGTCATAATGATTTGTTTTGAATTCTTTGCATGCACATTGCTTGTCCTGTATTATATGTTCAGATGTATATATGTTCAAAACTCGTTGAGGTAAAGGGGGTGTTGTAATACTTTGTAAGAAATAATTAGCTTTCTCAATAAACATACTGCGGGCATGAACCATGACCGTATAACTGGTATCGAAATTATAACCCACATTTATTTTTGCTGTTTACATGCCTCCAGTTAACTATGAATATGAAGATTATACCAATTGTACTGACGTATTACAAAGTTTGTACTTCCGCTTTAATCAGTCAGGTATGACCATTTGAACATTGACTGTCGGGTGTGTAAATGAGCGGTAAATAAAGAGCGTTTTCATGCTTTCTTAATGAATATGGTGTCATGCCAGTAGAAACTACAGGTTGTACATATACACAGGTTTCGTTTAAATTTTTTGGTGAGAGGTAATTAAATGTTTATCAAAAGTCATACATTTTTCCATTCAAATTGGCATTATATTAATTTTAAGAGACAAAAACTTAAAATTTAGACTTTATTATTTATTTATATTAATAGACTTCACATTCAAAAGATATTAATTATTTCACTTTTAACGGCTAAATTTTTAACTCCACGTTAAACTGCTTAAGAGATGTAAAAACTTGTATTGTCGTAAAAATATTTTTTAAAACTTTCAAAATTCAGTTACCTTTGTTGATTTCCTTTTTTTTGGGGAAAAATTTTGCCCCAAAAACCAAATTAAAATTAAAACTATTTTTTAAAGTGAAAATTTAAAGGGAAAGATTCTTAAGCCAAAGGCCGGGGATATTTAACACCGGAAATTAAATTTTAAAAAAAATTTTGGGAAAACTAACAAGGATAAAAAAAAATGGTTTTTGTATTTATTTTTTTTCCCCAATTTAAAAAGGTAATTTTCTTCAAAAAATTTTAAATAAAATTGAAAACCGAATGTGGAATCAATGTCCCGGTTACAAATGCGGTTTTTAAAATTGCAAAAAAACCTGGGAAAAGGCTTTAAAACCCCTTTTCGAAAATTTAAAATATTGCCATTTTTTTTAAGTTTTCCCCCTACTTAACCCAATTTTTTTAACTTTTTTTACTTTAAATCAAAATTACCAAAGAAAAAACCTCAATTCATCCCCTGGAAAAAAAAGGGCTATTTTTCGCCCCCCATGAATAAAGCTTCCCTGATTGATTTGATTAAAAAGAGAAATTGAAAAAGTTGTTTATCACACGGTAATTAGCGTGCAAGTTAATATTTACAAAATGAAACAAATGTCATTTTACAGAACAGTGTGAATATTTACCAACAGAGGAACGGAACAATAAAACAACAGATACACATGTTATTATATTCTATTCTCAAGAGGAGAAGATATATGTAATTTTGAGTCGTAGGTAAAAAATTCCTACCTTTATTTAAACTATATTGTCTGCAAAACAAATAACAGTTTTATGTTGTTACTGTTGCCTAATAAGCAAATTCAATTATATTGGGACTGGAATCGGCATTTGCAAAAGATAAAAGTAAAAATACAATATTTTCACTATTTGTACTGCAAGCCTTTTATTATCGACACAGTGACATTATCGTGAAGTTCGTTAATAATTTAATGTTGAATTATTTGCTTATTCAAAATAAGCAAACAAAGGAGACAGTTGACTACAATATAGCGGAGTACATATATAATATGCCGCACCAGCGTTTACCTGTTTTAACAGTATTTGTTCTTTCTTTCTTTCTAACTTCGCATATACCAAATTACTTAGATTATGAACGGTCAGAACAATTTATGTTTAGATAACTGTACGTGCTACTATACTTTAGGCTGTTTACAAGAACTTAATCTGGAAGAAGTAATGTATAGCACACGCGCGAAAAAAACTTGCCATCAAAACTAGAGCATTGATAAAAAGTACGAGACGGTTGTTTACAATAATGTCTCATTTCCTCATTAGCAAACACGTGGAGGCACCAACGGTAACTAATTACTGTAAAATGATATGTAATTACCACTCGTAGAAAAATCCTCATACAATCTAGCGGACATATAATACCTAGACCAAACAAAACCTCATTACTCCCGGAACGCTATTTAATGTTTTATATAATTAGTTCACAACAGGATTTTATACCAGATGGAATGAAGTCAAATGTCAGAAATTAAAGAATCTTATTTTCTGGAAATCTCCGGTGCGTATAATTTGTTAATGTTGAAATGCTCGAGAAAGTTGTCTGTCGTGAATAATTGTGAAGTGAATTGGACATACGAAGCCAATCACTTTTAGCATTTGACGTTGTCCTCAAGACAAGAACCTATTTACATTTTTCCGTCAGACTGATCTTGTAAGGGATTAAGGCGGGAATGCCAATTTCAGATGTGTTTACAGATTGAATAAATTGCCTACTCCTTTTGGAATAACTGGAATTTCATTCCGAATGTGATATTCAAATTGTGTGTGCAAAAAAACCCATCTAACTTGGAACATTCAGAGATATTTGAAAATTAAAAAAAAATACAACAAGGACTTAAAAAAGTTTCATAAGCTGAGAAATCTTATTAAACTTTGATTAATATAGAATCTCAAGTATCCTTTTGCAATGGAGCATAAAAAAACAATGCATTGCAACATTTTTATTTTTGATCTCAATAATGAATGTGTATTGTGTTGAGCAGCAAGTTCAGTCTTGCAAGGCAACAACGCCGGATGTTTTAGGTCCTTATTATTTTCCGCGACCACCTCACAGACGACAGATATGTGATAGAGACCCAGCATTCAAAAACGAACGCCATCTTTTAGTTGAAGGGCGAATACTAGACGAATCATGTCAACCAATTAGCGGTACACGAATTGAGGTTTGGCAAGCCGACCATGATGGGCACTACTTATTCAAGGAGAATTGTAGAGGATATTTTTACGCAGAGAAAGGTGGTCACTACGCCTTTTTAACGCTTCATCCTGGTACCTACTCAACTGATCCCAAAAAGGAACTTTTTCGACCCGCGCATATTCATTTTCGTGTTCAGAAGCCCGGATATAACATTTTGGTAACGCAGATGTATTTTGCAGGTGATCCAAATTTAGGACGAAATGATTCTTGTACTGAATGCTCGTCTGACAGGTCAGATCTAATCGTTGAGCCTAGGCAAATGTGTGCCGACAAGACAGGCCAATTTTGTTTCAGAATCGCACATTTTGATATCGTGCTAAAGCGTGGCAATGAAGTGTCGGTTGTTCCGGATGTTGATGATTCTGAACCCGAGCTGGACGACATTGTAGAAACTGGGAAGTAAAAATACAATGATATATTTATCAATGTTGAATGGTGTTATATCGTAATATAATGAATAATATATGCACGGGTATGTTATTGTTACATATTTTCTGCAACAAATGTGAACAATCAGTGAACTTGCAGTGGAGGAACGACAATTTGCAGTTCCTTGAAAACAACTATCATAAAACAATTAGTAGAGACAAAAGTGGAGAAAAAGGAATAAAAATGAATGTGTTTATACATGATAATCTGTATGATGCAGTGAACATTTCGGAATGATCAGATATAGCTTTATATAAATTCAATAAATATCATACGGTGACGTATTTCTTGTTTTTTGTTTTATTTAATTTTAAATAAACCGTACTCTTACATTTAGATTATATCATCAAATTATACTTGTCAATATTTAATTATGTAGGTTGTTTTACTTATTATGACTCCGATATTTCAAATTGATCCTTGAATTTTATTTATAGCAGAATTCTTTTTCGGTCACTATTTGAAAGAATTTTTCTTGTAGTAATTCTTCCACGGTTATATTTTCTGTGTATAAATATTCTTTTTTAAAATACTAACCACTCTAATAACTAATCCTTGAACATTTACCGGAGCAAATTTATTATCATTTCATTTTTACACCTGATCTGTTTTTGCTTCAAATATATTGCAGATGAGTCGTAAAAAATAAATAAATAAATAAATAAATAAATAATTAATTAATGACTGACTGACTGACTGACTGACTGACTGAATGAATGAATGAATGAATGAATGAATCAGTCAGCCCGCCAGTTGAACAAATACTGATATTTTTACAAAATTTAGACTTTTAACTTATTGTGTTTGTTGTAAACAAACTGGCCAATCATTTAAACAAAAATTATGTATCAGTATGTAAAGCCGGTACATTTATCATACCGTACGTCTATTTCTTAGTTCATAGGATATTCTATAACACTTTTATTATGTTCAAACGGATGAATTGAAGCAATCCATAAATAAAATTTCATTCAAACCCAGTGTCTCTAATAACTTTACAACGGTTAACAGTTTATACGTTACCGCAAAATTAATAGTATTAACCCGTAATTAATAGATTTTTTTCGTGCATTTGGTTCACTGAAAACATTAAATCACACATTCGTGTTATATATAAAGAGTATGATTCTATTGGACGGTACGCTGCATGTACGAGTCTAGTATAATTTTGACAGTGGCGTACTTTTCCTTTAGAATTCAGTATTGCACACAATTTATGACAGCCTTATATAATTAAGACATGTTACATTCTTTTCAAAGGCTCGGCTTACTGAGACGTGTTTTTAAACATATCGACATTAATAGCTTTAAAGTCATACATGTATATCCAACATCTGTTATACCTTTAATGGAATATCCTGTACTGTCATGGAACCCTTATTGTCAAAGATATTGAATGTTTAGAAAGAGTTCAGAAATATGCTACAAGTTTAGTTCCTAGATTATCAAGCTTAAATTACGAAAACCGTTTAAAAAAATAAATATGTATAGCTTAAAAGACAGACGCGTGAGACAATTTTAATAGAAGCCCATAAAATTCTTAATGAAAAATATATAATTACTAGTAATTCAGAAAGATTTTCTAGAAGTCAATCATATCAGCCAATAGTAGACATCATCTTAAAGTTTACAAACCAACACTTAACAAAGGACTTTTACTGCGTAAAACATTTTTATCCCTTAGAATATTGTTAACTCGTGGAACGAACTGCCAGAAAGGGTTGTTTCAGCACAAACAACTGATACCTTCAAAATCAGACTAGACCACCACTGGAATGAAATGAAAAGATATGGGACTCAAGAGACATCGCCTACTATCTAACTCTCATACAAGATGTAAATGTATAAATCAAGACGATGTCATTTTTCGAAAACCCAAGGTATTGCGGTACTTTTCATCATATAAGTTAAGCTGATGAAGTGGAAGTCGGTGGCGGGTATTCAACGATGTACATAGATGCTTGTTGATAACATGGTTAATATTAATTTATCACTGAAACATCTGTGTTTATATATAAGGGATGAGTGACAAGTTCATGTACTTAAAACAACAAATTGATGTATTTCTCTAAGACATTTGTACTAATATTTAAGCTTAAACCAGAGGAAATCTGCAAATTCCTTTCTTATAATACATAACCTTTGTTTCTTAACCTGCAATAAACTGTTTATCTTAAAAATATCGTCAAAGAAGGTAACACATGAATATATGGTAATCAAATATAATAAATAAACAATTACTAGCACTGTTAAATAATCTATCTCTCCCAATAATGTCGAACTTTGCGAGTTCACGTCTAAATCGCAAGCAAATTAAATAAAAAGAATATAACAGAGTTTAGAAGAAAAACAATAAAAATTCAGAAAATCCAGACTGGGAGGGGTGAGGGGGTATAACAGTACAGGCTTTTCATTGATTCATATAGGAAAAAAACTCGACTGTTATATGTCGGTCGAGTTTTTTTCGCACCTTGTATATATCTTTCATAGAGGCTCCAATGGGGCAGTGGAAACGACCATTCCCAGTAGCAAAAAAAAATAATAAAATAAAATAAAAAATGGAATCAATAAAATAAATATATAAATACAATGAAAAATATAAACACAGATTATTAATGAAATGAAATTTACTCTCATTTAATCAAAAGGTACATCTGCTGAATGAATTATTTCCACTGAAAATAAAGCCCTTTAATCTTGACAGTTTACCATCCGCCTCTAACATAACTTGAAAAAAACTGCCTTATCATATATAACTATAATGTAGCTAACGATTTATTTACTTATTTATTTGTTTCTATCACAAAAAAAGAAAACATGTCATTGCAAAAAATTGTCTCGGCCTATCGGCCTTGCCATTTTTTAGCAGAAACACACCTAGATGTCGCCCCAGCCAGTGTAATATCCCCGTAACTAACTCGTTTCATGTAATACTATTACTCGTTGCAACAATATTATACCGCTTTCATTGTCATGTTTTTATTAAAGGAGCCATTATTTATGGTGTTCTTTGGTTACCAGAGAAGCATTCATATTGATATTGCAGACAGCTGTAAATCCTTTGTATTGTGAATAATTCTAGAGCAATATTTAACAAGTTTATTATATTCTGATGAAGCGAACTTAATTCCATGTCCATTGACGTCATCCTGGTAAAAATAGAGAAAACCTTCACATGGGATTCCGCTATTGCTTATAAGAGTATATTTTGTTTCTTTTTTCTTCTTTTTTTTTGGGGGGGGGGGGGGGGGCGTCGTTGGGTTTTACGTTGCACTAACGCAGAATAGGTCATAAAGCGACTTTCAAGTTTTATTGGTATAGGAAGACCCCAGGTGCCCCTCTATGCATCAAGCGGGTATCTGAGTAGAACCACCGACGTTCCGTAAGCTAGCTGGATAGCTTCCTCACATGAAAGAAGCCAAACTCCCTGGCGGGATTCGCACTTACACCGATGATTGGGCAAATGGGCATATAGAGAGTTTAACTACATGTACCTTTTTTTAAAGTGAATAAACATGTATGTATACTAGTATTGATACACAATGGTCTACTCAATGTTATTATACTATGATATGATAAGGTCATTTATGGATGAAGGTCAAGGTTAGTCTGGTCTACTGAAAGGTCTTGTCCCAACGGTTGTAGTGGCCAAGTATGAAGACAAAACACAAATAACCTAAAAAGTTATGATCAAGATACAAGTTTGTGGACGGCAATGTCAACGCCACCATGACTGTAACTGCCGCTATTTTTTTAAGTCAATCTATAAACAAAAGAAACAAGAGGATCAAGATGGCCCTAGATCGCTCCCCTGACCCATCAATCTCATCCTAGCAATGTGTTAGACAAGCATCCTGACCAAGTTTGATGACAAAGGAGTCAACAAGAGCTGTCACAGGAGACAGTGAAGCTCGACTAATTAAATACTGGACGCAGTAAGGAAGAAAAAGATAAGAAAGAAAAATCAATTACGATATTAAATAATATATTTCTTCTTATGACAGGAAGTTATAGTTGTTAACATAAATTCCAAGTTCAAGGGGGAATAATTCTGGAAATAGTCTTGCTAGAGTTATGGACCTTGTCACACAACATATGTGTAATGATAAGAAATATATATTTGTAGTTTGAAGTAGATGCCTTGATTAAAAAGTAAAGAAGTTATAATATATCTTAAGAAAATTCTAAGTTCAAAGAAAGATAAATCTTAAATATTGCTTCAAGAGTTGTGAACCTTGTCACATAAGATGTGGTTGATGATAAGAAATATTGAAGTTTGAGGTAGATGCCTTTGAAACTAAAGAAGTTATAGTAAAAAATAACATTATTTATGTAAATAACCTAAGTAAATAGGGAGATAATTCTTGCAATCTTGGTGCCAGAGGCATGGATCTTGTCACATAAAATGTGATAAATGATAAGGAATATATAGTTTAAGTATGAAGTTGATCCCTTAAGAAATAAAGAAGAAACAGTAAAAAAAATCTTTCTTAAGGTATGAGCCCCCTAATGGGCACTATAAGGAACTATAAAATTGACAACATAGGTTAGTTATATACCTTAAAAGACACAAGAATGCAAAATTTAAACAAAGTTTACCGTATGGTTTACGAGTTATGGAGATTTTTCTTAAGTAAAACTTGGCTATTAGAAGGGCTCTTTTTCAGAAATGATTAACTCTATTCTATTTTATAATCATTATGAAAAAAATGTTTTCCGATAGAACATTTTTGAGAAACAAATAATAGCATTCAGCTAGCAAATGACCCAGCAAAATTATTGTTCCTACTCAAAATGTTTGAAATATGTATATAAATGTTACCCTACCCCACCCATTTTGGACGTTTTTCTACTTGGAGGGCCTTATTCAAAATATCACTAAAATTTACTCAAATCAGGGGCTGTTTTCAAAGTTTGCATCAATTTTCTTAAAAGTATATTGGTTGCGCTTGTCAAATATGAAATACTTTTACCGTCTAGTTTTTTATTTTATTAGACTTTGAAAATATCAGGTACCATATTTGATAAAAAAAATTTGCACAATTTAGCCAATAAATACCAATAATAATTCCATAATTAAAATGAAACACTTTTTTCTTCTCAAGAGTGATATGAGAGACACAAATAATGTTCAAAGAAAAAAAAGAAAGAAAAAAAAGTTGCCGCTTCTGGGGATTGAACCCATGCCCCTCTGTTATAATGCAGTTGACAGTAGTTCTAGCCTATTTGAATACTCTTCAAAGTGGAGGTAATGCATCAGGTGGATCATACCTTAAAGAAAATTCTAAGTTCAATGGGAGATAAATCTGTAAATATTGGTGCTAGAGTTATGAACCTTGTCACATAAGATGTGGTTGATGATAAGGAACATATATTTGAAGTTTGAAGTTGATACCTTAGGAAATGAAAAAGTTATGGTGAAAAATATTTAACTGCACCAAAAGTTTAATCTGAAATCTGGACCGAGTGGACAGCTCTCCATATACTTTATATAGACAAGCTTAAAATGTGACCTCTAGAGATGGCCCATGTTCGAAATCCTCCAAGCAATTAACTAAACAAAGCACCCTGACAAAGATTGATGACCATTAGAGTATTTACAAGGGTTTTCCATTTTAAGGCAGTGTGACCTAGTTTTTGACCCCCAGGTGACCCATATTCGAATTTGACATAGAAATCATCAAAACAAACTTTCAGACCAATTTCCAGGATATTTGGATAAAAACAGTAGCCATTAATGTTTAAAAGATTTTTCCATTTTTAGCTAATATGACCTAGTTTTTGACCCGAGACGACCCATATTTTAACTTGATCAAAAACAGCTATATAAATGTATATCATCTTTCCGTTATATGACTGATAGGCTGTAAACCAAGACAAAACTTACAAACTCATACATCATCAACCGCAGACGGTCAAAATATATATAGTAGTAACAAACCCCTACATGAACCTTAAATCACGCACTTGTTACCCATCTGGGCAGCTGTTTTTACTTTTGGAGGACAGTAAAGAATAAGGATTGTCCAAACATGAATAGTAACTAGAAGGGTTTTTGTCACAAAAACATATGTCTCCCAAAACTATGCATGGTCACTCATGTGAAGGTTCATTGAAATCCCACCAGTAGCCTGACCTGTGAAAGCCAGACAAGATTTTTCTATTTATAGCTCTGATGGCCATTTTGTGCAGCAAACAGGAACATACTGGTGATGTGCACAACTAGGGATTGTACTGATCACTCCTGTAAAGTTTGGATGAAATCCCACCAGTAGTTTGGCCTGTGAAGGCCAGACAAGATTTTTCTATTTTTAGCTCTGGCGGCCAATTTGTGCAGCGAAGTGTAACATGACAATGATGTGCACAACTAGGGATGGTACTAATCACTCCTGTAAAGTTTGGTTGAAATCCCACCAGTCGTTTGACCTGTGAAGGCCGGACAAGAATTATTTATTTTTAGCTCTGGCGGCAATTTTGTGCAGCGAAGCACAATGTGCCGGTGATATGCACAACTAGGAATGGCACTGATCAGTCCTGTAAAGTTTGGTTGAAACCCTGCCAATAGTTTGACCTGTGAAGGAGACAAGATTTTTCTATTTTTAGCTCTGGTGGCCATTTTGTGCAGCGAATCAGAAAGTGCCGGTAATGTGCACAACTAGGGATGATACTGATCAATACTGTAAGTTTGGTTAAAATCTCACCAGTAGTTTGACATGTGAAGGGCGGCCAAGACTTTTCTTCTTTTAGCTCTGGCGGCCATTTTGTGCAGCGAAGCGAAAAGTGCCGAAGATGTGCGCAACTAGGGATGGTACTGCTCACTCCTGTAAAGTTTGGTTAAAATCCCACCAGTAGTTTGACCTGTGAAGGGCGGACAAGATTTTTCTATTTTAAGCCCTGGTGGCCATTTTGTGCAGCGAAGGGGAACATGCCGGTGATGTGGTACTGATCACTCCTGTGAAGTTTGGTCAAAATCCTGCCAGTAGTTTGACCTGTGAAGGACGGACAAGCTTAATGCGGACGGACAAGTCGACAGATGGACAGACAGACGGCAAAGGCAAAAACAATATTTCTCCCAAAAATTTTGGGACACATAATTATGTATGTTGGCACATACACTCTTCTACAATCGCCAAACTAATTTGTAATTACATTAAATAGCTGGTTTTTCAGACCACTAATGATCCCAAGGTTTTCTAGTCCTATTAATGGGGGTATGCGTACAAATCTGTGTATTTATCAGTTGTAAAGTTATGACAACTACAAATGTGTCCATACGACAATGATGCCCTCGTTTGTCTGTAACGTATATTTCATCACAGCAGCATATTTACATTCTAAGCTTACATGTTTTAATAAGTATTACTAATGCAACTAATAAACTTCGCAAACTCACGACAATGATTTGACAATTATTTCATATTAAGTGTCACTGTGAACTTGACCCAATGACCTCAAACTAAAGAGAAATAGGTTGTCATCTGCAAACTCGGATTCATCTCTTGGACAAAGATTTTACTGTGTCACTGTAACCTCGTAAAGAATAGGGGACATGGGCATGTGACGTCCCTAACACGTTACATAAACTTCTCAAATTATTAATTGGACTATGATAAACAGGATGTACATACAGACTGACCACATCATTACAGTATGCTCACAACTTTTAAAGATCCTGTAACACATTTTTTTCATGGTTTTATTTCGTAAATATGATGCTGCTCAAATTAAGATTAGTCAATATTGTAAGTTCAAATAAGCATTATTTATGAAGATATTACCGAATTTAACATTTCATGTAAATAAAGGGAGGTAATTAGTTATTTATTTTCTATAAATTCTAAGTCAAATTTTCCAATAAGAAATGAATGCATATAATTTATTGATTAAATATAATGTGCGCAAATATTTGCAGTACACATTTTACATATTCTTCGATGTTTGAAAACAATAACAGCATAACTACACACATTGTCTTGTATTTAAAATTTATTTCCACTTTTTTATGTTGTTTATTTTGGACAAAAAAGAATATCCTTAATAAATAAATAGTTCTAAAATCGATTCCACAATGTAATGTTGTAAAACAGTTTTCACAGTAAATTCTCTGTTTTTGCATACCAACAGTTGTTTGTGTTTTTAACTATTCAAAAAATATTCAGCACTTAAGATGGCCACAGAAGATGGGGTTTATTCCACTTTACAAACAAATTGAAGCTGGTTTCTATAACAACTACTCCTGTGCCCCCCACTGTGGAACCTGTAATTATAAACATTGTATGAATTACAACTACATGTCAAATGTTAGTAAAATAATCTATTATTTATAGTTATATGTCAACTAAATGATCAAAATTATTTATAATATATAAGTTTGAGATATTCTATAACAGTCTGTTTGATCAAACATAAATCAGTTCCTTAATTGCTCACTATACTTCAGCTCATACTCTGGGACATAATAAAACAGGACTAGTAACTATCAACAAATGGTCTCATGTTGGTGACTAATTGACCTATTGATAAGTGTAGTGTTAAAATCATATGTTAATGCAGTTTTCATGAAAAATTACATAGATACAAGTTTAGTAGGATCATGTTAAGACAATTAGGATACAAAACTTATGAAAATACAGTTAAAATCTTATGCCATTTAATTAATTTCTTTTTTCACACTGTTTACTATAGACAAAAAAGATGCCTATTCACAACAAACAATCTGACAAGATGGCAGCGTGTGTATGTCCCTTAATGAACGAAATGATAATGAAATTGCTTGTCCCATTATATCATGTCCCAGTATACTGGATATGATTCCTCTAAGGACATGAATGGTGACATGTCTGGGTCAGTACTCTCAGTGCCTTAAAGGGCGGATGCACCCTCATTAAACCTAGAGCACCCTCATTAAACCTAGAGCACCCTCATTAAACCTAGAGCACCCTCATTAAACCTAGAATACATACATACATACACACACACACCACACACACCTACCCACCTACCTACATAGGATATGATCCCAATATCACATTTATTCAAGTTTTTTTTCCATTCTATTCATGAAAATAAAAATCAAACCCTTCATCGTAAGCTTTACCTAGTTGTATTTGTGTAACAGAATTTTATTTCTTTTTATTTTAGAATTTGAGTATAACATATAGAACAGGTAAGCATGGTCAATATGAACATGCAAGCTAGCAAAGCACTTTAAACAAGTCATTTTTGCTGTCAGTGTTCTTACAGTAAACCCTTTACATGACTCGCCCTTATGTCTAATGCAGACTCAAGATATATAGATAAATACCTCAGTATTTTTAGCATTTAATTTCTTCTCAATATTCATGGCTAAAACCTGGGATCTAAATGCCAAGTTTTTAGTTTTCTCTATAACCTGCTGGTATGGTGATACAGCCTGCGTTCCCATGACAACATGACCCTGAAAACATAACAATAAATACTTGTGTAAATGTTACAACTATCATAAAACATTACCTTTACTGACCACCTTATCATATTCCATGTCATGAAATTAAAGTATTGTTTATGTTATACATAATTTAAGTAGCAATTAAATTCTTGGATTTAAAGATTTTAAATTTATCTTTACACCAACCAAATGAAGATTAAATCCTCAACAATTCCTACAACAAACACTAAACATCTTATCAATATGAAACATGAAAATTATATAAAATGTAACATTAATTAAGTGCCAGAAAAAACTATTCAAACTTTTACAGCAGCAACTATACTGTTATATGATTTAATGAGGTGTTTTGAATAATCCATTACTTACTTTTGGGTATAATTATCAAGTTTTATTATTAAGTGTGCAATAATAGATATACCAGTTTGGAGTCTATTTTGGCGTCTATGCGAGCATTTGGTATCAAGTTATTAAGTGTGTAATAACTAGAACTATCACTAAATGTGATTAATACCCCCACAAGACTGCTTCGGAAATGAGGATGTTACTAGTAACAGAATATCTTGTAAAAGAATTGAAATATAGAGTTATGGTTGTGGGCAATTAAAGATAGTTGTGGTTCTTGTATATTGCATTTCCTTTCAATATGGTTGGCCATTGATGAAGTTTTATTGAATTACTCTGTAGTAAGTCCAGAAAGACAAAGAAAAGGAACAAAGGGCAATAACTCTATAAATACTGAAGATGGAGTTATAGTTCTTGTGCACTGCACTTCCTCTTTTTGTGCTTGACCATTGTATGAAGTTGTTTTGAATTTCAACCAGTACGTTTTAAGTTATGCTCCAGGCAAGGAAAAGTATCAAAGGGCAGTAACTCTGTATTTTGTCAAAATGGAGTTATGGCTCTTATGCACTGCACTTCCTTTTAATGTCCTTGACAACTGTATGAAGTTGTATTGAATTCCAAACAGTAGTTTTCAAGTTATGCTCTGGACAAGGAAAAGTAACAAAGGGCAATAACTCTGTAATTTGTCAAGATGGAGTTATGGTTCTTGTGCACTGCACTTCCTCTCAATGTGCTTGACCATTGTATGAAGTTATATTGAATTCCAACCATTAGTCTTCAAGTTATGCTCCAGAAAAAAAAGCAATGGAAAAGTAACAAAGGGCAATAACTCTGTAATTAGTCAAGATGGAGTTATGGTTCTTGTGCACTGCACTTCCTCTTAATGTGCTTGACCATTGTATGAAGTTATAATGAATTCCAACAATTAGTCTTCAAGTTATACTCCGGACAAAAGAAAGCAATGGAAAAGTAACAAAGGGCAATAACTCTGTAATTACTTTAGATAGAGTTATGGTTCTTGTGCACTGCACTTCCCCTTACTGTGTTTGACAATTGTATGAAGTTGTTTTGAATTCCAACTAGTAATTTTCAAGTTATGCCCCGAACAAGGAAAAGTAACAAAGGGCAATAACTCTGTAATTAGTCAAGATAGAGTTATGGTTCTTGTGCACTGCACTTCCTCTCAATGTGCTTGACCATTGTATGTAGTTATATTGAATTCCAACCATTAGTCTTCAAGTTATGGTCCGGACAAAAGAAAGCAATGGAAAAGTAACAAAGGGCAATAACTCTGTAATCACTTTAGATAGAGTTATGGTTCTTGTGCACTGCACTTCCCCTTATTGTGTTTGACAATTGTATGAAGTTGTTTTGAATTCCAACCAGTAGTTTTCAAGTTATGCCCCGGACAAGGAAAAGTAACAAAGGGCAGTAACTCTGTAATTAGTCAAGATAGAGTTATAGTTCTTGTGCACTGCACTTCCTCTCAATGTGCTTGACCATTGTATGTAGTTATATTGAATTCCAACCATTAGTCTTCAAGTTATGGTCCGGACAAAAGAAAGCAGTGGAAAAATAACAAAGGGCATAACTCTGTAATTACTTTAGATAGAGTTATGGTTCTTGTGCACTGCACTTCCCCTTATTGTGTTTGACAATTGTATGAAGTTGTTTTGAATTCCAACCAGTAGTTTTCAAGTTATGCCCCGGACAAGGAAAAGTAACAAAGGGCAATAACTCTGTAATTAGTCAAGATAGAGTTATGGTTCTTGTGCACTGCACTTCCTCTCAATGTGCTTGACCATTGTATGTAGTTATATTGAATTCCAACCATTAGTCTTCAAGTTATGGTCCGGACAAGGAAAATGCAACGGACGTCTGGACCGACCGACCGCCCGACCGACCAACCGACCACCGGGTGACTCCTATATACCCCCCCAAACTTCGTTTTTGGGGGTATAATAAATATACCAGTTTGGAGTCTATTTTGGCGTCTAGGCGAGCATTTCGTATCAAATTATTAAGTGTGTAATAATAGATATACCAGTTTGGAGTCTATTTTGGCGTCTAGGCGAGCATTTCGTATCAAGTTTATTAAGTGTGCAATAATAGATATACCAGTTTGGAGTCTATTTTGGCGTCTAGGCGAGCATTTCGTATCAAGTTTATTAAGTGTGTAATAATATATATACCAGTTTGGAGTCTATTTTGGCGTCTAGGCGAGCATTTCGTATCAAGTTGACAATCCATCTCTCAGCATCCTCAGGTGTCATGTTTAATTTACTTGCCAACATGCTGCATTATATCAAAGAAATACATCATTTACCATCAACAAAATAATGTCAAGAGTCAAAGGTTTGACATATACCCAATAAAATAAGCATTTATATTCCAATGTTCAAAATACAAATTAGACAAATGAGGTATAACTTTAAATTGAGGTGTCCCCCCCCCCCCCCCCCCCGCAGACTAAAGGGATAAACAGAGTGGGTTTTTTTCACCAAAATATTCAGCGAAATTCAGCCCCATTCACCCCTCAAATTAGTATGTTTTTTTCCCCTCTCAAAGCTGAAATTTCCCCTATATAGCAGCTTGAATTTGCCTGCAATGGATATCATCTTTTTTTTGCAACTAACTGCAGAAAAATGTTTTATTTAATGCCTGTAACACTAACTGTTAAGCAAGGTTGTTTACAAATCGTTCTCAGGTAGGTAAGGGGAGCTTCTCCCGGCGTCCAAACAAGTTTAACATGCGACGCATCGACATTTTAGATCCGCATATTAAGAAAAAGCGACGTATTTTAAACTTGTGTTGCAAGAGTTCCTCCCCTTTTCTACTGGAAAGAAAACAATATAAAATACATGTAAATAAACAAATAAAATTCCCCCTCCTATTGCATTTTTCCCCCTCCAAAGGGCACCAACCCCCTTCCCCAAAAAGTGGGGAAAAAAAACACTGAAACAGCTTACCTTATGCTAATACACTCATGTATTCTACAAAATGTCTCAAATATCAACAATCTGGCATTCTCTATAAAGTCTTCTAAACATGCCACCAAGAAGAAATCATTCATCAAGACCTGGAAACAATATTCAGTTCTATTGTAAGTCAGTTTAAGTCACACAAAAATAGTCTTCCATATATTTTATCATGAGAATTAATTCATATACTATATACTGAACAATATCGTAATAATAACAAGATATGTTTGTAAAACATGTATGCCCCCTATCAGCAGCCAATTAGTCATGTGATAAGGTTATTATGCATGACTTCTGACCCAGTGATCAAACAATTAATAAGGGTTATAAAGTATCTACTGGTCATGACCTTGACCTTTGACCTCTTGACCCAAAACTCAATAGGGGTCATCTGCTGGTCATGACCAATCATCATACAAAGTTTGAAGTTCCTAGGCCAAGGCGTTTTTAGTAAATTGATCAGAAACCGTTTTTACCTACAAGGTCAATGTGACCTTGACCTTTGACCCCTTGACCCCAAAATCAATAGGGGTCATCTGCTGGTCATGACCAATCACCATGCCTAGGTTGAAGTTCCTAGGCCTAAGGGTTCTCTTATTATTGATCGGAAACCGTTTTAAACATACAAGGTCAATGTGACCTTGACCTTTGACCCCAAAATCAATAGGGTCATCTGCTGGTCATGACCAATCACCATGCCAAGTTTGAAGTTCCTAGCCCGAAGCGTTCTTTAGTTATTGATCAGAAACCGTTTTTACTTACAAGGTCATTGTGACCTTGACCTTTGACCCCTTAATCCCAAAATCAATAGGAGTAATCTGCTGGTCATGACAAATCACCATACCAAGTTTGAAGTTCCTAGGCCTAAGTGTTCTTGAGTTATTGATCAGAAACCGTTTTTACTTAAAAGGTCAATGTGACCTTGACCTTTGACCCCTTCACCTAAAACTCAATAGGGGTCATCTGCTGGTCATGACCAATCATCAAACAAAGGTTGAAGTTCCTAGGCCTAAGCGTTTTTAGTTAATTGATCGGAAACCGTTTTTACCTACAAGGTCAATGTGACCTTGACCTTTGACCCCTTGACCCCAAAATCAATAGGTCATCTGCTGGTCATGACCAATCACCATACCAAGTTTGAAGTCCCTAGGCCTAAGGGTTCTTTAGTTATTGATCGGAAACCGTTTTTACCTAATAGGTCAATGTGACCTTGACCTTTGACCCCTTGACCCCAAAATCAATAGCGGTCATCTGATTGGTCATAACCAATCACCATACCAAGTTTGAAGTTCCTAGGTCTTAAGGTTCTTTAGTTATTGATTGGAAACCGTTTTTACCTACAAGGTCAATGTGACCTTGTCCTTTGACCCCTTGACCCCAAAATCAATAGGGGTCATCTACTGATAATGACCAATCACCATACCAAGTTTGAAGTTCCTAGGCCTTAAGGTTCTTTAGTTATTGATCGGAAACCGTTTTTGCTTTCAAGGTCAATGTGACCTTGACCTTTGACCCCTTGACCCCAAAATCAATAGGGGTCATCTACTGATCATGACCAATCACCATACCAAGTTTGAAGTTCCTAGGCCTTAAGGTTCTTTAGTTATTGATCGAAACCGTTTTTGCTTACAAGGTCAATGTGACCTGACCTTTGACCCCTTGACCCCAAAATCAATAGGGGTCATCTACTGATCATGACCAATCACCACACCAAGTTTGAAGTTCCTAGGCCTTAAGGTTCTTTAGTTATTGATCGGAAACCGTTTTTGCTTTCAAGGTCAATGTGACCTTGACCTTTGACCCCTTGACCCCAAAATCAATAGGGGTCATCTACTGGTCATGACCAATCACCACACCAAGTTTGAAGTTCCTAGGCCTTAAGGTTCTTTAGTTATTGATCGGAAACCGTTTTTGCTTTCAAGGTCAATGTGACCTTGACCTTTGACCCCTTGACCCCAAAATCAATAGGGGTCATCTACTGGTCATGACCAATCACCATACCAAGTTTGAAGTTCCTAGGCCTGAAGGTTCTTTAGTTATTGATCGGAAACCATTTGGTCTACGGACCGACGGACCGACAAGTGCAAAGCAATATACCCCCTTTTCTTCGAAATGGGGGCATAATAATAATTTATGACAAATTTATATAAAATTTCATGACTTAAGAATATAAACTAAAATTTTCTTTCAATAATTGCATCTCAAGAACTAAACCATTACATAGGTAAAACATGAAATTTTGAGAATCAACAAACATTATTGATATTTGATGATACATAACTTACTGATTCACATTCCCTAAGTTTCTTCTGAGCCCCGTCAAAATCAAAGTGGACATACAAACATTCTACAAACTCAGTTATAGGATCTTTGTAGGTGTAGGACTCCTGTAAAACAAAATCAGATTTTTTTCTTATTTTCTTTATCGTAATTTTGGTCACAAAATATGGGAACATTTTCCCCTCTTCTAGGACCTGACATTTAACTTTTACATTGCAGCTAAAGGTAATGAGTTATTTATTACAGATTTATTTTTAAAAACAAAACATTACCAAACTACCAGCTTAAGCCTAAAATAATGAACTAAAGGCCATCTCATACATATTACCACCTAGCAAAAAATTAAATGCACTCAAGTCAAATACTAATCCAGGTCAAATACATTATATTGATTATATTACATGAACAGAACAAACCTGTTGAATAACTTTAACAAGATCTTTAAGGACAGTTCTACGTCTAGTCTTGTTAGTTATAACAGCTGTTGTCAAATATCTCAGTATGTGGGGGCACATTGTCTGTATGGCATTCAAATAGAGCTGAGAGTACAGGAACATGTCAATGATCAGGTCACGACCTTTCGGATGGTTGAAAAATACAAACAAGCTCCAGTGGATAAGCCAAGTGCGCTGTTGCAGTGATAAAAGAGCACTTCCAAATGTCTGAAAGGTATATACTCTTTCATAACTTATTTAATATTTTGTCTACTAATCGATCAAGAACAATCATGCAATAATAAGTACAAATCATCTCAATGCAACAACAAAAAACAAGTTCTGTTTAAACATATAACATTGTAAACAATTAAATATATGTCTATCAAAATTATCCAAAAGCTAATTAGTATACCATAATAACAGTTCTTCTTGTTGTTTAATTTCGCCTTTTCCACAGTATCAGTCAATAGGCGGTAGTTCTAACATGTCGAGAGTTAACAGTACTAGACTACTTCCTCACGTAAACAAGCTCTCCGGGCTACCACGCCAGAGTACTGATAGAATCATGACTCTAACCTCAACCAGGAGGCTAAGTATCCTACTTGATATATGGGACAACTTACATTTGCTTCTATTACTTCTTTAAGCCTATTCAGATCTTCCAGAGCAGTGTCCCAGTTCTGCATTAGAATCTCAGATGCCAACTTACCCCACAATGCATTAAGGTAATTTCTATCATTAGGTGGTAACTGAAAATACAAAAGGAAGGAATTAGATACAATTTAAAGTAATAAACAAACATTAACTAATTTAACAGAGAAAATGGATACTAAGAATTATTGTGTTACAGACATCATCCGATCTTAGGGGAGTATCGTATTTTTGTGTCTTTCAAAGTTTTGAAAAATAAATATCCATACTGTTAACATGATATTAACTCTCCACATGTTATATGATAGTGATAGCCTTTACCACCAGTATACAGCCAGGCCAGCCTACACATCCATGAAGTCTGACAAGGCTTCTAACTATTAGTAGCTCAAATCAAATCAATTACACAAATATAGCAGGTAAAGGGTTCAGCTGTACAATGACAATATGTTAATATTTGAGATCGTCAACATGTGTTAATGTTGCACTGAATCCTTGTTATGAATAACGTCTATACAATTTAAAGATTTTAGTCTCATTGAACAACGAAACATGAAAGAAGGATCTTATCATGACAGTTGGAACTGATTAACATGGTTAGAAACACATGTTAAATGATCTATTCTAACACGACCCGCATTTTTCCCTATTGAACATAGAGGAACCGAAAGTGTGTGTTATTATACTATAAAATCACTGTTTGACGTTCTATATTTAGACATGTGGCGTAATCATTTTATACGTGACGTAACCACTAAAATGTGACGCGCTGAAAATAAGTACGGAAACAAATCAGGCGCAGTTTAGCTAATTATTATGTACGGCAGCATTTATTTGTTGATGTCGTGTTAGAATCGAAATAATATATCCAAATCGGTGATTTTATTGCTTGATAACATCACTGTTTGTCGTTCGGATGCGCATCATTATATCACTCGGGCTACGCCCTCGTGATATAATTCCCCGCATTCGAACTCCAAACAGTGATTTTATTGAGCAATAAAATCACAGTTTGGGATATATTATTTCTTAATTACAAAACAAAGTTATTACATAAATTGATAATCAACAACAACTGACTATAGACAATTTGACATCAAAGGTAAACAAATCAAATATCCCATTGTAGCATATATGCAAATAGACTTTTTTAAGAGGACATATGTAATTAAAGGCCACATTTTCCATTTTGTACGACTATTATTGTGTGTAAATAACTCACCAGAATTCTCACAAAGTAGAGATATTCAGCTGCAGCAGAGTAATTACCACATTCATACTGAAACTTGGCATAGTTGTACAGTGTATCTACCATTTCTGCTTTAAACTGTAATATAAATACACAAACCTTACAAAAAAAACCATTCAACATGCATAATAAAACTTTATCATTTATCATGAATAGGCAACAAATTAAAACTACAGTACTAGCTAGGCAAAACCTGCAAAGTTTACGGTATGCTGGGACCATGGCTAACATCAACTTTACAGCCGCAAATTATTTTGTAAATGCATGGTCTCACAGCTTATTATTGCCAATACTGTATACGAGTAATATAAACTATAAACAAGGCTTACATTTTAAATATGCATCAGGGTTCATACAGACATCCAATGCCAAAATTCAAGGACTTTTTAAGCACTATTTAAGCACGTTTTTCCATTTTTCAAGCACATTTGTTGCACATATACCGACACAATCTTCAACCTATGATGGATAGTTTGTTCACCATTTTTTGTTGAATACACATTTTCTGACATTATACAAGAACAACAAAGGGTGCATCAAATACAGATTAGTTCAAAACAACTGCAATTTGTCCACTTACTGTTACCTTGAGTAAACATTTCATTGATTTTGATACTAAATTGGATCTTTTTTTATTTTGTTAACTGTTGATTTTTATCAAAACTATGTCATTCTGTGATTCAAATATTTTCAAGCACATTTTTAGCAAATTTAAGCACTTTTTAAGCACTTTTCAAAAGAGTAATCAAATTCAAGGACTTTTAAGCACTTTTTTACATTTTTAAGCACTTTTTAAGAAAGAGACTCAAATTTAAGCACTTTTTAAGACTGTACGAACCCTGTGCATGTCTGATTTCCTTTGTACACTAACTTTGATTTTTCAGATCTAGTGAAAAATTATACCATAGTTACTGAACTGTACATTATGAACATACACTCTTAAAAATTACGAAGTTAAAAAAATCCAGTCTAAACTAGCTAAGTAAAAAACTGGATTTCATTCAACATGTTAAGAAAACTAAATAAACTTGATAACGCAAAATAATTGCTTAAATCAGCTATGACACATACCCCATGTTCTTTGAATAAATAATCAAATAACTGCCTTCCATCTCTAAAATAAAGATTAGTAAATTGAGTAATACATGTTGATTATATAATATCAAAAAAAATCATTTTCAATATTTAAAATACCGTTACATAATTATTAAAACATACAACCACTGTGACTTGAAACAATACCACTAAATGTATTTTTTCTTTATTTCTTACAAGTTAAGATACAACAGTCCTCTAACATGGGAAAATGATTATTACATGAAAATTTCTAATATGCCCTTAACCTGCTGAATTTCTGGAACAGACTTGTAAAGTATATAGCCTGGTCTGAATTTGTGGGTTGACATGGCTCTATGTTTACATGGGTGCAAGTTGAAAATTTGGAAAAAACCTGAAAACCTTTATTCATAATCATTTTCCTACATAATCTAATAGTAAAACATGATGAAATTTGTCACAAAAAACCTGAGCTTCAGGCATGTGCCTGAAAACTTGCATCCATGTGTTTATCACTTTGGGTTCCAGCAGAATTGCTAATATTTAATAGGTATGGATATAGACTTCACATAACTAAATAATTGAGTTTACCTTGAACTCTGCATTTGTCTCATCACTTCTGGATCTTCAAATATTTTTGTGATCAATTCAGTTTCTGCCTGTAAAGACTTTAACTGTGTCACTACATTGCCTCTCTTGTTGAAGAATGCTGTAAATATGTGTAACATCACAGTTCAGTTTTTTTATTTTAATTTCCAGTATCTATAACTTAAAGTTGATGAAACTGGTTTTAAACAATAAAGGACTTTCTGCCACTGAAAAGACTGTAGAATTCTTTTTTCCTTCAGACTAGTCTATTATTTACTACAATGAACACAGACTTAAGAATCAACAACTTTTTCAAAATCAACTACTGAGATGTAAACAGTAAACACATACATCAGAAATACATAAAGTACATATGAGCCGCGTCATGACAAAACCAACATAACTGGTTTGCGACCAGCATGGATCCAGGCTGCGCATTCGCGCAGTCTGATCAGGATCCATGCTGTTCGCTATCAGTTTCTCTACTTG